CTACTTCTCACATTTCCCCCTTTCTCTGACGGCTGTTTTTCCATGAAGCTTATTTCTCTTCTCCGCAAAACCCATTCTTCTATTCATTCCAACGCGGTCATATACAGGGGCGAATCGCATCAAAACACCACAATGAGCAAGCGCAAGAGATCACTCTCTGTTGAGGAGGATTACTACGCTGAATGCCCTTTCACTATCTCTTACGAGACTGATCGCCAGAGAGGTCAGGGAAAGAAGAAGCGGAAGTCTGATGATCAAGATAAGAACAGACAGGTTCAGTGCCAAACCTCGCCTTTTAACCCAAAGGGTAGGTTTACAACGCATACGAAGATGGATGTATATTACACCATTAAACCCGAAGAATTGTGGCGAGGCATGACGCGCTACCGTAGCTTTAGTTGTGAGCATCCGATGGAATCTCTAACATTGTCCCAATTGGTAGGAGCTTACGGCTAACCCTTGGCAGGGAACGAAAACAAATACTATAAAGACGATTTTGTGTATGTTAGTAACGAGCTATCATTGGAAAGAAAAAAGGCTCAGGAGTATGGCCTGCCTGTTTATAAGGAGAATAAAGATGAGTGGGTGGCGCGCGTCCTTGACATCCGCGCTTCTGATGAGCAACACGTCTATGCACGCGTCTGCTGGATGTACTGGCCCGACGAACTGCCTGCGGGGACCCTTGACAGCAGGAAGAAAGTCCAAGGCCGTCAGGCGTACCATGGCGTCAACGAACTGATCGCTTCCAACCACAGTATGCTCCAGAATGGTGGCCGATATACCGCAATGCGACTAACGGATCTCTCCTTTGCTGGTGGATATAATCAATGTTGTCTGTGTTAAAGGACTCGCTACCGTCGATCAATGGATTGAGTCCGATACCAAGGAAGTCCCAAAAGGGCTTTATTGGCGCCAAGCGTTCGACTGCCGTAACTCGCAACTTTCGGTGTGTCTCATTGTGTCTCCTTTGTCATAAGGCTAACATATGCATAAAGTCTGTCGAACTCATTTGCGAATGCCAAGAGCCTGCAAGCCCTGATAAAATCGTGCTAGAATGCACAAATCCGCAGTGCGGGAAGTCTCTGCATGAGGAATGTGTGTCTCACAAGATTCTCATGCAAGTTTATGAGCGACTGGGCCTGGACAAGCCCAATATGAGCCAGTATTTGGCTGGCAAGAAGCAGGAGCTCACAGCCACCCATCCTCTCTCGCCTCCTAATCCCGAGGAGAAAGAAACCCGGCCAACAATTGATGTCGGTTTCAACAAAACGAATGATGGCTTGCGCTGCAAGAAGGCTACTCACGAAACCGATTGTGAGGTAGGAAGTCTTGTGGGTGGGCGAACGCCTTTCGGAGGTATCGCCACCGYTCCAGCAAAGCAATCTGCCAAGAAGGGCCATAGGAAGGCGAGAAGGAAGACTGCAGGCCCTARACCATACGAGGGACTTTTCAAGGCCACCCTCAAAATGAAAGATGGTCGCCCCACATCATGGGAAATTCTCGACTTGCGCGAAAGCNTATTAACTGAATCACCAATGCACCAGCGACGGCTACCCAAAGTGTGCTCCAGCCAGGAGGCTAGACGAGTCCGGAAGTTGCAACTCGATATGCTGGGATAACAATCAAGGCTTTTGTCACTTGTCAYAGGACAGGCATAATCTCCAAACCTTTAGGCAATTCCGCTATAAACGKTTTTCATCCTACTAAATTCTCCTTCTAAGAAGGTTCTTTGTTCTCCTTGACATGTTCTATCACATACGCCATTCCGACCAATTCTACTTGCGGGGAGTCCATTTTATCACTCGTTACTTTGGTGTCCAAACTGTGCGCCTCACATGCAAGGTGTGATAAAATGTACGTAATCAAATGTACGTACGTCTAGGTCCAGTCGTCCTTGCCAGGCGCTCTGGTCCCGGCGGCATCAAATCACGTCAGTGTTAGTTTGGCTGCCCTTTAACGGGTACCATTCCGGCATTCCCAACTGATCGAAACCCAATCTGATAGGATCCAACCAAGTCATGCTTTCTCCACCTTTAATACACCCTGTTTTCTTCTTTTTTCTCCCCACCCACAAATCTGACAAATTCGAGCTGGCGATACAGACAGTCCTACCTGACCACCCCTTGCAGGTCTTCCGCGAGCAGTGTGGAGGAGCAATCAATATGGTTTGGAAGAATCCCTCTCCACGAGGATCTCGAAGGGTCGGAAGCGCTGGATTAAGCACTATCGACTTTGTTTTGCTGAGATTGATACTGTTGGCAGTTCCCCGAGTCCTTGTTGAGCTTGTCACTTGTGCGACGCGAAGGGCCAGTCCGAGTTCTTCGCTGCGGCTACTAAAAGTTCAGCAGCCGATGATTTCTGCAAATATGTGAATATGAATGCGACGTTGCGAGCTCGAGCATCATTGGCCAATGCAGTTCCCGCAGGACTTTTGAGATTGGTCAAACAGCTGATCCAGATCTGCCAGCCAGTGGATCAGAACGGCCCAAGTGACAATCTGGTATAGCATTGTGCCACGGACCAGAGTCAAGAGAATTCGAGAATTGAGCCTGCAACTTCTCATGATGTTTCTTTCTCCTATTTCAGTGGTATATTTCTTCAGCAGCTTGTTTCGGAGCTCGACACTTTCCTATCTGACCAAGCACCATGGAGCCAGTAACCGCTGGGCCATTTTCTGGATGACACGGACAAGCCTAAGAAAGATGAGGTCAAGCAGAAGCTCTGCGATGTCCTCACCTGAATCCACCTGAGGCTCGACCTATGAACATCACCTAATCGACATGCTGTCATGGCAGTCACGGCTCATTCCCTTGACCGGCGGACAAGCACCAGTCACGCTTATTGGCACCCCGTCACCACCTTGGGTGTCATGGTGGAGACATATTTGTGGTTACGCTCGAGCAGGCTGCCCGAGAATGGAAGATAGAGGACAGAGACGGAACCGTGATCTCCAAACCAGCTGTCTCAAGAACCTCTACGGAGATCTCGACGCAGCGCATCCGCCCGGGGGACGTTCGGTCCAGATACATGCGCTGCTAAGGGCATATCCTAAGCCTAATTGCTCGCGCCTTTCTCTACGGCGAAAATTGCGAGAACCCCGAGGCTGGATCGAAGATATTCGGCCTTCCCGACCGGCAAGAGGATGATCTAGAACACTGGAGAAAGAAAGGGTCGGTTTG